CTTGCAGATGCGGACCAACCCGGAATGTGCCCCGACTTCCGTAAAACGCCACTCATTCATCTAGGTACTACCTTGTTATTGCCTCGATATGTTCCGAAATATCTTGATCGAGAAGGTTGCACACGGCTCTAGCCGTAGCAACCTTATGTAAAGCTTTATTCTGGACGTGATCTCTTCTCAATGTACTACGTCTCACACAGGTTCATGGGAGCAGAGCATGAAGAGTAGGTAGGTACTTGCAGGTAGGTATCTATGCAAGGGGGCATTCGAACAAGGCACTGACTGAAATTCTATGTTAGGTATCCTTCCGTTTTCTGCTGTGCGAATGACACCACCAATCTTGGAGACACCCATCCAGTTTAACAATTGTACCAGGCAGTAAATCATTAATAGGTATTGTACAATGCTCATGCCTCAAACTCCCCGTCTATGTATTCGTTCCTTTTTTCTTTCTCTTTATACACGGAGCACTTTCGCAGTGAATTTCTCAATGAGATCTTCGTTCGGGAAGCTCATCTGCTCAAGGCCCTGGGCGTACGGCGTGGGGACCTCGGCACCAGTGATTCGTTGCGCGGGAGCATCCAGGTAGTCAAAGGCGTACTCCATGGTGACGGCAAGGATCTCGGAACCCATACCAGCGAAGGGGAAACCAGACTCGACAGAGATCAGGCGATGCGTCTTCTTGACCGACTGCACGATCGTTTCCACGTCAAGGGGTTTCACCGATCGCAAGTTGATCACTTCAACCTCAACACCGTACTTCTTCTTCATAGCCTCAGCCGCGACCAAGCACTGACCAACGGTACGAGAGAGGGAAACCATAGTCAAGTCCTTGCCGGAGCGCTCGATCTTAGCCTTGCCAAAGGGAATAACAAAGTCATCCTTCTGCGCAGCCTCGGACATGGGGAAAGATACACCATACATAAGCTCGTTCTCGAGGACGACGACCGGGTTGGCGTCGCGGATGGCAGCCTTTAACAGACCCTTGGCGTCTTCGGCGGACCATGGAGAGACGACCTTAAGACCAGGGATGGAGCCGTACCAGGAGCTGTAGTCCTGAGAGTGCTGAGCGGCGACACCGGAAGCGAAACCGTTGGGGCCGCGGAAGGTGATGTTGCAGGGCTGGATACCACCGGACATGTAAAGGGTCTTGGCAGCACTGTTGACGATCTGATCGATAGCCTGCATAGCAAAGTTGAAAGTCATGAACTCGCACTATACGTAGTGAAACTTTTTAGTATTTTTCGGGAATCCCCAGCTAGTTTCAGGGGAATGGCGCTTGTGACGAGTTTACTCACTATGGGAGCCAAGCCACTCAGGGCAGAACCGACGGCCAAACCACAGAAACCACTTTCGGTAATGGGGGTATCAATAACTCTCTTCTCCCCAAAGCGATCCAGCAGACCCTTCGTAACCTTGTATGCACCGTTGTACTGAGCCACCTCCTCACCAATAACGAACACCTTGGGATTGGCCTCGAGTTCTTCGGCCATGGCTTCGTTGAGGGCTTCACGGACGGTGTATTCCTTGGTTCCCTTGACATCGGCGAACGTCCTCCGTTGCGACACGGCAAAAGAAGCAGGAACGAATCGGGGAATGGTTCTAGGAGACGCGACAGCGCGTGCAGACGCTGCCAGGCGTGCTGCGGGACGTAGATAGCGAGACATGATTGAAGAAACAGAGACGGGTCACGAGAGCAAACGGCTGCACCGGGAGAGGAGAGTGGAATTGACTTGAATTAAATTGAGTCCAAACTCCCTGCCCACTTAGTACCTACTAAGTTGGCGTGGTTTGTCGTTGGTAGTGATGGTGAGGTGGCGGTTGATTGTGGTAGGTAAGGTTAGGTGATAGATTATGGGAGTTGAAGAGCGATTTTCTCCGTAAGCGAAGCTTCTCTTTATTTTTTGGGAGCTGCTCTCTCAATTCGCGATTTGTCTCCCAACTTTTTTTTTCGGATGGAATAGGAACAGCTTGTTGAGGGTGAGATAGCACGCTAATCCAGATTGGGATAGAAAGGCGGGCTAGCTTTTCCGAACCGTCGGACTGGAGCTTTGGAATCTCCAATTCCCTGCCGTTCAGTGTTAAGAATTAAGAATTTCGATGTGTGCTCAATTGAATAAATCAATTTCTTAACTCAGTTGTCTTCTCAAAGCAAGCCACTAAAAAGGCAACGTGCTGGATCGATGGTAGAGTATAGCTTGTTTACGCAGCGGTGTCTTATCTTTGGAGGAGCTAAAGTCGTAACGGACCTCAGCTGGGGCATCCTCCGTTGGGGGGTTCCGTCTCTCTCAGAACCTCAATTGTTCAAGCTGATCGAAGCTGACTTCGTGAGCAATGTGATTCGCGTTTCTCTTGGGGCTGGTTGGTATTCACCAATAAAGATAGGAGGAACATAAGTTCTTTTGAGAGTCTACCACCACGGCAAGTTGTACGTACACTGCAGGAATGCATTCAGCCAACAGTCTACACAGCATCACGAGGGCATTGCACCAACAGACAGACGAAACTATTCTATTTCTAATACTATCTCTAATAGTTTCAGTAGTTCATTTGTATAATGAGATGCCATACGTCAGTAGGTATGTATAATAGGTCCTTTATTATATACAGAAAATTCGAGAGTCCGGGCAATAACCCGAGGTTAGGTATTCGCAGTTTGGACTTCGTATAGTAAGCAACCTTCTTCTCGGTTGCGGAGCAATATTATTATTAGGTAAGCATCAACGTTGGTTCTTTATTCGTGACTGTGCGTATGAAGCACTTTCTCCGTCACCCCTGAGACGAAACACCTTCTGCAAGTTCTTATCTTGGTCATTGCTCCGGCTTCTTACCAACCATCAAATACATTGGCGTGAAGAGGTGCTTCTCGCCGCCAGCGACTAAGCAGTCTGCAGCACGAGCTAGACTGTCTGCTGTCTTCTTGGTTCCGGGCGGTGCCAGCCTAGCAATTTCCAGAAGACCGGCGAAGTTGTGCGCCAACAGACGGCCCCACCATGTCATCCGCGCAATGGTGGGCGTATCGAAGATCGTCTGCATGTACTTCCACTGACCAGCAAGCGGCCAGTACCATGGGATGGGGTCGGGGCGTTCAGCGAGGTCCTCATGGTGCAGCATCTCGAAGCCTGCGATCTTCATGGCCTCCAGACCTTCCTCGATTCTGACCATGTTGGAGATACCGTCACCTTGCTCGATACCGAGACGGATCTCGCGGTGCTCAAGGTTGTCATTGTCGTATTCGTCCGTCATGAGCCATTCGTATACGCCGAAGACGCCACCGGGCTTTAGTACACGCAGGATCTCGCTATAAACACCGGCCAGTTTCGGGGCGTGCACGGTAGCCTCGATGGCGTAGACGGCGTCGAAACTGTTGTCAGGAAAGTCCATTTGCTGTTCAGTGTTAGTTCAAGGACTGATATCCTATCCGGTCCATGGAATGAAAAGTCTCACCATGAAATCACCTTTTACAAAGGCCAACTGGTTTGACAGACCCTCCTTCGCGGCGTAGTGAGTAGCGCGCTGGATCTGGTAGTCGTTGTTGTTCAGACCAGTGATGTGGCAGCCGGTGAACTTTGCGATTTCCCTAGCGGGGCCACCAACACCGCAGCCAACATCCAACACCTTCATGCCTTCCTTTATGCCGATTTGGTGCGCGAGGTAGTGCTCATGTCGGGAAATGGCTTGGTAGAAGGTCTCGCCAATAGAGTATCGGCAGAAATGGAACGATTGGCCCCAGCCGTACTCGTAAATGTCTGTAGCGAGGTTATAGTAGCTATAGGGGGCCTTAGCGAGAGTAATGTAGTACGGATACAGGGAGATAGATTCAAAACATACTGTCTTGTTAGGGTGGCATATTCAGCAGTTCGCTTTGCGCGGTCCTCCTCAGTCTCGTCCTTCGCATCCTTGTTGTCCCAGTGCTTGAAGTACTCGTCAACGGCAGCCTTCTGGGCGCTAGAGTTTTTGCCGACCAAGGCGCGGAAACCACCAGTCGATTGAGCAGTAGCACCATGCATGGCCTTGTTGAAGGCGGCATCGCGTTGCCTGTCTTGCTTCTCCAGCTCGATCTTTGAAGGAGACATACTGAATCAATTTAGAAGAGGATTGAACAATGGGTCTTATGGACGCGTAGAAGACAAGAGATATTTGTAAGTAAGGGTAGACCGGCAATTGGTGATGGCGTTGCAGTTTGCGAAGGGAATCTGCTCATGAGGAAAGGGATATACTCAACATTTATTATTTTTCGGTTCCTTATCGACAAATGATTGCGGAACCTTGAACACAGCTAGATCGACCTGAGCGATAGGGGGAAGGACCCTTAGCAATTTCTTGGCCAATTTCACCTAGAACCAGCCTAGGCTCGCAGTGAGTTTCGGCCAATGACATTACGAAAATTGCTAACGAACCTGCATTAGAGAAAAGCGGAGGGTCAGGGGGGGCGAGTAACGGCTTCAACCGCACCGCAACAACAATTTCCAGAATCCGAATACGAGCTCTATCCGATGAGCCACAGAGTGAGCTCAGATACTGTGGCTGAATAACTTTAGCATTGTACTCCCTCATCGATCGCTGTATGTAGATATCCTCAGGTGCCGCTGCAACTATAGATATACGAATACGAACTCGATTCTGGACGTCATCCGACGGTGAACGAATACCGAAACCTCTGTCGATTCATGTTTGTATGGTTTAGTGATTCACCTCGCTAATAAGTCCCCGCGAAGATGATTCTCGGCTGTGTCCGCATAATGGAAGAGTCGTATCAAGATGTGTTTGAAATTGGTAATGACTATGATGCCACCGTCAGATACAATGAGAAAAGAATGAGGGGTTAATAACATCGGGGGAGAGAGCTTAGTAAGAAGATACGACAGACGACACAGAGAACACGCCCAGCTTAAACACCATCAGCATCTTTAATATCTACATGCACGTATCCTGAAGCTCTCAAAAAATACCAAGGACAAAAAGAAAGGTGGTATAGAAGGAATCTAACCTTCCAATGTTGGACTCGCGGGGAATCGAACCCCGGACCACTCCCAAACTACAGTACCTAAGTGCCGTGCTAAGGGAGTATTATACCACTAAACCACAAGCCCTGAGCGATATGTAGATCAACTGATCTGATTCGTTAGATTTCACAGTGTGCAATCTTCCACTATATCCTGCGCTGCCGGTGGCACGAAGGTAGCGGTAGCCGATTGGGCAAGTAGGCTCCATCAAGCTCCACCGTGCTACATAGTCTTAACTCCAAATCGAAGACCAATTATTTCAACTATCCCAGGCGTCTGACTTTGATACCATGGAAGGTACCGGTAGGTAGCCAATATCAATGCCGTGTTTCGGGAATGGGATGTTAGTAACAGGTTCGTCGTCTACTGAGCTTCATATCATCAAATGCTCACTTGACTCCGTTTGAATTATAGTGGTGATATCACAACTTTTCTTTCACCAGTGGCATAGTTTTGACATGTAATCTCGGGCGCGCATCATAACGCACTACCACGTCCATCTCCATTTCCTTACCAATTCCACCTTCTGACCGTCAGCGGCCTCGTCCGTGTGCCCTACCACGACGGGTCCATCTTCCTGCTTGTCCAACTTCTTATTGCTGATGAAGTACCACGCACTTAAACCTATTACCTGCACGACGACTATCGCGGAAAGCACCAGGCAAGCAGTAATAGCATTCAGGTAAAGAGGCGCGTCCTGAGTTCGGAAGACTTGACTGCCCGCGATACCGGCAGCATTAGCGCCCATGATAATCATCCTCATATCAATGTCAGCAAAGTGGTTAATAAAATAGGTGAGTGGATGGTAAGAAAAAAGAGGCAACACCTACGCCATAGCGATACTGCGTTCTTGCGGCCGCCGGCAGTTGACCGACAGCCAACCGACATTGAGGATATGAATCGTGGAGTTCACCGCCGTCGAGAAGACCACGGCGGCGTACCTCCGGCCCGCGCTCCACCCCCACGACTCCCTCAGGCACGCGAACGCGATCAGGCTCCACAGCGCGCCAAACAGCAGCGACGGCGCCCGCACCCTCGTGGCGTCGCACAGCCAGCCAAGGACCACGACCATGATGGCGGAGACGAAGGCGCCGACGCTGGCCATGGCGTTGGCCCTGACCGCGCCGTAGCCCAGGCTCTTGATGACGCTAGGGGCGTACGTGTTGATCGCGTTGACCGGCACCGTCGCCGTGATCGTGATGACGATGTGCGCCAGGATCCGCGGGTTGCGCACCGTCGTCCAGACGTCGCCGCCCGAGATGCGCACGTGGTTCGTGGTCTTGGCCGGGTCGTCCAGGAGCACGCGGCGCACCAGGATGTGCGACTCGCGCCGCCCGAAGTACGACCACCGCCCGAAGCTGATCAGCGGTGAGCCGTTGCCGACGCGTGGCGGCATGAAAAGGAGGAAGATTATGCCTATTCCAATCGTGATGGCTCCTTCGACTATACGCATGGGTTTGTACTGGTTAGGTCGCACCGCCAAGGGCGAAAGGGGTCCTCCGAGGCGGGAGTTGGGTAGGTAACTACCTACCTATGAAGAGCCATCTCCATCCAGCGATCCCGTATCGGTCTCCCATGCTTATAATACCGGCCCCAATTAATGAGCTGGTAGCCAATGCGAGCAGGTTGCCAAGGAAGAAGATGGAGATCCGTAGACTGGACTCGGATTTCTTGTACCATGTCGACATCGTGTAGAGCGAGCCAGGAATGAAGCCCGCCTCGCACTACGCAGGTAGGTGGAGGTCAGTATGTTGTGCTGGGTACAGGAAACGAATAAATGTCTTGCATACCAATCCGAGGAGCAACCGGGTGGCGAGGTAGCTGCCATAGTTGGTCATGAAGCTCTGGAAGGTAGCGACCAACCCCCATGCCACGATTTGACAGGATAACCACCTCTGAGGCCCAACGCGCTGGAGCAGAATATTGGATGGGATCTCCAGGAGCACAATGCCAGCCGATAGAAGACTGTTCCCGACGTTGATCTGGTTGGTATCAACATGAAGGTCTTGAGTGACTGTGCTCGTCAGGGCGTTGGAGATGTTCCCTCGGTCCATCTGCAGAGCAAAGAATGCCAAGCCCAAGATTGGCAGCAGAATGATATCAAGCCTACAGAGTGTAAGAGCTTCCGTTAGAACACCGACACAGTCCTGGCAGCTTGGGATTGGGGATATCGTCATGTCTTACTTTCGCTTCACGGCGCGCTCCTCTTCCCCTGTCCAATCTGCTACATCGGCCTCATCGACGTTCACGGGGGCGGCTTCGCCATCCACAGCTCCAGTCCTGACAGCAGCCTCAATGGACTTTTCAAGCGACATAACGATTTAAGTATGACTCGGTCGAGACACGCGCGAGAGAGAGGGGCAATTACGAGACTTCATCTTGGATTGCACGGTGAGATTGAGCACTTAAGTGCCGTGACACCCTACCAAGATCCCACCAACGTCGCTGGCCAATGAAGTGCACCTCATCTCACCATTGTCTTGTACGATGCTATCTCTGTGCTGATTGCGCAGTGCTGTGCCGATCCCCTGCAAGTATCGCTGACGTGCCCAGTGATATCAAGTTGCGTGATCAATTGGCTGCCCAGGAGATCCAATGAGCTGGCTCAGACAATCTGCCGACGCGCATAATCGAATTAGGGTTGAAGACTCGAGAGTATATATTACCTTGTAGGATATATGTACATAGCTTAACACGGCGCCTTTTTAATATTTAGAGAACATTTCTCTTCATCCTGCGATCGTGTGGACGGTGTTTTCCCCCTCGATGTCAACGGGCTCTGTTATATCTGCATCAAGTGCCTACGACGACGGCCAAACCCAGCGATCGAATAGTTATTGCATGTCTGGGAGGCACAAAGGTAACAAGTCAATCACCCGAGAACGGTACGGTATCCAATAACTGCCGAAAGCTCGTGTGCCTTATATCAAGAGCTCCCAACCAGGAACGATGAAAGGTGTTCTCAGCGTTTGGACTTCACTGTATGTTGCATCTGATCTCGTAGATGTAGACTTCCCCTCGCTTACTTCAAACACAGGCCAATACAAAATCAGAGTTACCACCATTCCCTTCACCGAAACGTTCAGCTCGATTCGACAACATACTGCAAGAGCTGGATAGCCCAGTAGAAACTATGACAGCTTCTACCGGAGCCGAAACGAATTGGTAGTCTGGAACTCCCTATCAACCAGAATGAGATGACTCTGGTCTTTCATCAATGGCTTAGCCAACCCTTTTTTGACGAGATAAGTTTTTCGTTGGCAGTCGGTTCCAATAACTTGTCTCTCTCGGTCTTGCACACGGTTACTCCTTGAAAATTACGACCCGAGGCATCAGATATGTTGCAAAGTCTTTTCAGCGGTATTTAAGGCCACATCATAACTATCTGTATTGGGAGATGGCGAATCCCGGAATCTAGATCCTCACGGGATGGTCCAACCAACCTTAGTATCACTGCAGGGATCCGATATCGTTCTATCAGACAAGAATGTCATGCTCGTTACATTGCCGAAGTTCGATAATGGCTCAGACTAGCCGACATGTCCGATTTCCTAAGAATCCCAATAAGCCTATCAGCATCAGCATCGATGCGGAACCCCAAGATATCAGCACATCTCATCGACTAACCCGGCTCCAACGTATATCGAGAAAGATCTAAGACTGTTCTCGCTACAGAATGCTCCACGAATGACCGATGGGCCTCGAATTCTACCCGAGGAAGGCCCCTACAGCCTTAATGTGCCCAGGGGTAAAAGGGGTATATTGGATTCCGAAGGTGACCAAACAAAAAAGCCCGAAGCGAAGAAGGTGAAGTTAGGTTACGTCTAATTGAATTGCTGCTAGATCAGCAGGTAAATGGACACGTACACCATGCAAGTACCTAGAATACAGCAATGTGCTGTCGCTAGTCCACCAACGGCCATTGCTCCGATAACTACACAAATCCACCCATCTAGTGGTACCCGTTGGTCAGCGGCTGCGCCAACTGGATGAGGACCCGCTCGATCAGCGACTTTAGGGCGGACAGATACCTACACGCGTCCTGGATTTTGATCAGGTCGCCGCTCTGGTAGTCCCCCTTGACCCGGTTGAGCTCGCCTTCCGTCCACGCGATCCAGTCGAGTGTGTTCCGGAGGCTGGACTCCGTCGCCGAGGTCAGGGTAGTCCCGACGCTCTCGATGTCGTTGACGATGCGCTGCACCAACGTGATTTGGCTTAGGATAAAGTCGATGTCGCTGGCTGTGGCGATGGTGCGGCGGGGCATGTCTGCCATGTTGACTGTGGATGCTGGGTGCCTAGGGGTTGGTTCTTTGTTGTTTGTTGGTATTTAACTTCTGCTTACATGCCGTTAGTATGCGGAAAGAGTGAACTATTTGGGGTTAAATGAAGCGAGGCTCTACCTGGATACCTGGATAACTTTTACCCTGTGTGATATAGGGTGTTATCTAGTGTTTCTGGGTATTCGTGTCAGATTGTGTATAGAGAGACAGGAAAGCTGGGAACGTTAAATCTGAAGAAGTCGCTTTATATAGACTGATCTGGTACCACAGAGGAGCCCAAGTCATACGTGAAGGTCGGGTGTTGGGATGACAATGGGTGACGAGTATAGGTATGTTATGACTACACGAATGACTGTATTAGTTCTTCCAAAAAATAAACACTGGGTTTTGAATCTGTTTCTTGGTTTTAACACATCATGCTACAGGTGAAATGATGGACCAGAGACAGAGATGGCAGATAACATAGATTTTCGTCGTACTATTTCCTTGCAACTCCCACTGAATTACGTCTTGATAATCATAGTGAATATATTTAATTCGTTGAAGATGTTGGTAGACTTGGGTACCTCTGGTAATGGCAGAAAACTGCACATTTGTAGTTGTAGTGCTGGACGGCTTCACTAACCACCAGGCAAGGACTTAAGTGGAAAGACCATAGGTGGAGGAGAAATGAAAGAGAAGGCTTCGTCAAGGCTGTTGCTTATGTGTGGTAGGTACCTAGGTACATACGTACTGGCTCGTCGTCGCCCACCCAACTGTGTGTCCCACCGAACAGCAACTACGTACCCAAAAGCTTATAAGGTAAAG